ACTGTGGAAGAAGAAACTGTACCCAGTTTAGAGAAGGGGAACAGTGAAGCCCTTAATGAAGTTACTACCACTGATGTGACTGTTACTGATAATAGGACATTTCCTAATGGAGCAGATGAATCCTACGTGAAGCAGAAGCCAATGAGACTGAGACCAGTACGGAAGAAGATACGTCCCGTAAAATTAAGATACTTTGTTGAATTTTAATTTTGTGTTTGTAAATTCTGTACATTTAATTAAGTTGTTGTTAATTATTTATTGGTTTAATGTAAGGGGTTATTGTTTGGGACGAACAATACTATGGAAGGGGCAGCGTTACGACAGCGGAAGTCACGTGCTTTGGTAACACGTGATGAGTTTCTAGAAGGATCATGAAGGCCTGAGTGCATTCTAGACGCCCTCTTTTTTAGTATATAAGCCCGGCAAATAAAACGAGATGAGGATTGCAGATAGATAGATATAGAGACAGATAATTGAGTCAAGCGAGCGGTAGTGACCGTAATATAAAGTGTGTGTTTTGTTATCGAGATTGCAAACGTATTGACTGTGGAAATTCTGTGTATCGAGAAAGAATAAACTAGTTTTAATTAAGAAAGGACTTATATCGCTTAAGTTTCTCGGAGAGAATTTTTACGGGAAATTATCCAACAAGCAGATACGTAACAATAGGGATCTGCAGGTTGGTAAATGCCATGTCTAGTAGATTTCATTGTTTTACAGATTAGTTTTCACAACTCAACACACTTTTATGCAAACTTTGAAAGATTGGATTCCTCTTTAGGATGTTTGTTATACCTCTTTAGTAAAAAGAACAGTATCTGGTTTTTCACACAATTGCCGGAGAATTTCTGGAGGCTTGTCCTACTGGACATTTTTACTCAGCAGTCATGTGAAGGTGTACAAATACTAAAACCATGTTCCCCCTTTTTTGTTAATAAGCAATATCAAATTATCTGGGTGGCATCGCACTTTGAATTAGCTGTATCTTAGATCGAACATTACTATAAATAAGGTTGGTTTCTCAAAATGGCCACTGTCGTTTATCCTGTGTAAATATCTTTATTCAACACCCAGAACATGTGGCTATTGTGATAACTAGAGAGGTGAATGTATTCTTAGTTTAAACGACACTTGCTATCTATTGTAGAGATATAAGTGGATTTTATTACAGTGTTTTTGTTTCTCTGTGAAACTTCGTAGTTAAATGCCTTCAACAGTCAAGTCAGATTTGATCATATGCTCCACATTACTCTTCCTTAAAAAATATGTTTTAATCCAATATTACATTGTGTGCATGCAGTAATTGTAGTCAAAATGATTCAAGGTTCAATCTCATAAAATCAATTTTTCAAAAATTTCCTGGGGAGGGGGCATGAGTTATCAATCCTGTCTTGACTTGAACAACTGCCACTGAAGTAACACAACTTCCTAATATAATATGTGTAAAATAAATTGGTTTTATGGTACTGAAGTAGATTATTTTAGTGGCTGTTTCGATAACTATGAAGGATAATTTTTGAGAAAGTAGTGCGTATATTTTCAAGAATCTTAATTATTTTTCCAACCTCCCAAACAGGTTAAAAAAGAAAAGAAAAAAAGGCAATTTGGATAGAAATGCCAGAAGTACTCATTTATGTATCATGTTAGGTGAGGAAGAGCAAACTAGTATCACTTTAAAAATTTAATAGTTTTATAAATGATAGGTGCAGTTTATAACACTGATTACAGTTGCATCAAACCATGTATGACTTTTAACCCCATAAAATGAGGATGTGTTTTAGGGATTTTAAATGGTACTTTATCTTTAAAGGTTTTTCTTTAAAAAAAAAAGAAAATGAAATTCCAACTATATAGATTCATGCATGTAGGCAAATGCGGTGCAACCACATCCCATAGTTTGCATCCATTTATGTATAAAATATTTAAAAAAGCATAAAAACAACCACAGACACTATCGAAATGTTCCATTTTCAGTGAAAACTACAAACATGTTTCTGAAGAGGCATGCACCCAGAACTCCCAGTATGACTTCACTACTATTTTTCTTTTTCTTCCAAAAGGCACCTTACTCCTTTTAGATATTTTTTACGCCACTTTAGATAGTCTATTGAACTGTTAAATATATGTGTGAATAAAAGTTTTTTCTACAATTACATTACTTTTTATTGTTTATAGAATTGTGATATGTTCTTCAAAATCAGAATGAAATTCTGATGAGGAAGTGTATTGTGAAACTCGTACATTAAAACAGTACACAAATTGATGTTTGTATACAAAATTTATTGTGTACATCACATGTAAAAAAAAAAACAACAGTAAGACATATATGTGATATTTAATAACACTGTATTCTGAAATGGCTTATAAAGACTTTAAAACCTTGGTAATCAATTTTTGCAAAGGAAAAATGAATCCAATCTGTTTTTGCAGAGATAAAGAACAAAACTGTTATATTTGTTAATCAAAGAAAATAATCAACATTTGCTTTTTTTTCTAACATCTCTTTAATCTTCATGTACAAATCCTCATTTGGTTTAATGATCTTTCATGAAACAGTTCAACAGATATGTCATTACTGCACAATGTTTGTTAATATAAACTTTATAAGCTAATTATTATTATTATTAAAGATTACTACAAGCTCATGCACAATATTACATGGATGATTTAATATATCTTTGTTATTTCACTTATTCTGATTGCAGGAAGCTGGTTAAGACCCAAACAGTTTCAGGAATAAAACTATTGCATTCTGAAAGTTAATAATATCTTTACAGCACTGTGGTTGTACTGTTAAAAACTTAAAAGAAATTAAATCTCAAAAACCTTAAAATGCTTAAAACAAATGATTAGTATGTTTATTTAATTTTTTATACATACAGTTAGGCCTGCCAACAGAGGGGACAACTGCCCAGGTGAATGAAACCTGGTTATGCCATAAAGCCTGCAAAGCATCTTTAGGCTATATCTTCATTTAATGATAAAAACCATAGTTTTGACTTTTCTTTGCATATAGACGCTTGATACATTAAGAACGACTGAAATAATAATTTGAGTAATAATTAATATGTATTTGTTACTTTATAGATTTAATAGATATTTGTTGTTACTTTATTAATGTTTTTACGCTTATACTGTGAGGTAAAAATGGCTGCTGCTGTGACTTTGTCTGGTTTATGAGCTCGTTGCTGTCCTAATTTAGGATATTCTTTTTAATAAATTCTTGAAAATGTTACAAAAGAGAGAGAGAAAGGGGGCCCAGCAAGGATGTTTGCCCCGGGCTAGCTCTCGACATTCCTGCATACAGTAAAACATTTCATGTCTAAGGTAAATACTGGCTAACTGTTTCTGACTAAACATTTTGGGAGGTTTAACATGATGAAGTTTTCAATTCTAAAAAATTAGTTAAAATGACTGAATATTGCACAAAAGCTATTTTTGCACAGAGTAATAGTACCAAGGATGGTGATAAGTTTGAGGCTAATGTTGTAATACATAAAGTAAAGTGATTTTTTGGGACACCCAAATATATTTTACAGAAATCCTTTATATAACTTAAGCATTAACTTTCTGGTTTTCCTGCAAGATCTTCACGAATAATGTAATTTGCTATTGTTTGCTCACTAAAAATAAGCTTTACTTTGGTGTTATCATGATTACTAACTCTGAATAGTGTGTTATCCTAATTAGTACTTCTACTGTGAATAGTGTTATTCTGCTTAGTACCTCTACTGTGAATAGTGCATTATTCTGATTAGTATCTCTACTATGAGTAGAGTTATCATGATTAATATCTCTAGTATGAGTAGTGAGTTATCATGATTAGTACTTCCACTGTGAATAGTACATTATCCTGATTAGTACCTCTACTGTTAACAGTGTATTATCCTGATGAGTACCTCTACTGTTAATAGTGTTATCCTGATTAGTACCTCTACTATAAGTAGAGTTATCATGATTAATATCTCTAGTATGAGTAGTGAGTTATCATGATTAGTACTTCTACTGTGAATAGTACATTATCCTGATTAGTACCTCTACTGTTAACAGTGTATTATCCTGATGAGTACCTCTACTGTTAATAGTGTTATCCTGATTAGTACCTCTACTGTTAATAGTTACCCTAATTACTACCTTCACTTTGAAGTGTTATCCTAAATAGTACCTTCACTGTGAATAGTGTTATCCTGATTACTGCTTATACTAAGAATAGTGTTATCCTGATTACTGCTTCTACTATAAATAGTGTTATCCTGATTACTGCTTCTACTAAGAATAGTGTTATCCTGATTACTGCTTCTACTATAAATAGTGTTATCCTGATTACTGCTTCTACTATAAATAGTGTTATCCTGATTACTGCTTCTACTATGAATATGTGTTACCATGATTAGTATCTCTACTATAAATATATCAATATGATAAGTACCCTTACTATGAAAGGTTTATGATTAGTATCTCTGCTATGAACAGTGTTAGCCTTACTAGTACCTTTACAATGAACAGTGTTATCCTGATTATTACCACTACTATGAACAGTGTTATCATAATTAGTACCTCTACTATGAATAGTGTGCTATCATAATGTGAATAGTGTTTATCCTGATTATTATCTCAATTATTAGTAATATATTATTATCTTGTATAATACTTCTAGTATGAAAGGTGTTTTCATGATTAATACCACTACTATGAAAAGTTTGTTATGATTAGTACCTCTACTATGAATAGTGTTATCATGACTTGTATTTCTATATGAATAGTGTGTTATTTTGATTTGTACCCTTACTATGAAGAGTTCAATGAGAATAATAAGCTTCCTTCAGGAAGCTCATCATGAATAGAACAACATACACTTGTAAAGCATGAAAAAAGTAGCAAGCTTACCAGTTTAATGCTGACTAAGATACAAACTGAATGTTTGATAAAGAGTGATTAAACCATGGCAATGTATGCCTCTTAATAAATATGCAAGTTCTAAATGTTCATTTATAAGAGTTCATGGGATTGATCAATGTTGCTGGCATTAAAAATGAATTAAAAAATTTCCTACATATTTTTGATAGACATAAAAAACACAAATAAAATGAGTATTTCTTCAGATCTATTACTTTTGTTGAGTGCAGTTATTTTTTTTAAATACCTCTTTCTGACAGAATAAACTCTTAATTGATGTTTGATGTAGGTATGTTTGTTTTCTGTATACCTAAACATAATTTATAATACATAAGATTGAGGTCTGCTCAAATTGAGGCCATCCAGCCAGCAGATGCCAAAATACCATAGCGGCATTCACACCCCAGAAGATTTAACAACAGGGAATTCAGTTTCCTATTCTGTCACTTTATGCAAATATTTAATCATCTATTTTCATCTCCCCAACTTTAATAGCAATTTCACTGAAAGTTGGCCTGTCTTTTGGACTTTTGTTCCAACAGGAAAGAAGTAAGTTTGATAACTGTTGAGGAGCTCCTTCTGGTGGGTTCCACTGCAATTCATGGTTTCTCAAAAGTTGCAGTATCTCTTCATCTCCCTTATTACCAAAAGGAAGCTCTGCCTGCATGAAAACTTCCCATGTGAAAACAGCAAAAGACCAAACATCACTCTTGGTTGACCACTCATCTTCCAGGACAGCTTCTGCTGGTGCCCATCGTAAAGGAATATTTTTGAACTGGAAATAGCTGTATTCCTGAGCATATGTGTCCTTTGAAAGACTTGGGCTGCTGATCTTTACACCTAATTTGGAAGTGATCAGACAGTTTCTTGCAGCCAAATCTTTGTGGACAAACCTGTGGTTTGCTAAGTTTTCCATTCCAAGTGCCACCTGATGGCAAATACTTATAATTTGACAAGTAGTCAATGGTGGAGGTTTAGGACCTTTACAAGTTGTATCCTTACGAGTTGCTAACAAGAACTGCTTCAAGTCACCCTACAGAGTTTAAACAAGAGATTAAAACCCAATTATTATACAAATAAAATATTTTAGTATGCTCATTATCAGTGATGAATAATCAAATTATCTACAAGTATTATTTTTTTTGAATAACCCCAAACAAATGCCCTTCATAGAAAATCCATGTTTTTTATATCTAATAGTAAAAATATTATTTTAATTTATGTTTCAGAAAACAATTTTCAGTTTTGGGCATCAAAAATGGCATGTACCTACTTTGAATAACTCTGTATATGTAAAAGTATGAAAAAAACTCTCTAAAATTAATTATAAATTTTGAGTAAACTTATTAGACTTTTAAGAGTAATTACATCTTAAGATAAAAAAAAAAGAGCAAATGTATCTTTTGGAAATATAACATGGCAAATATGAACTTGCCATTAAATATATTTTAAATTTTTATAACCAAAACTAATAATATAAAATAGACTAAATTTCCTTGAACATTCTTTTAAACAGTACTCTTTCAGTATCTTCAGCAATCTATTGAAATTAAAAACATGTGTTTATGCATTTCAAATGATGAATTAAGTATCTTGTTAACCTTTCACACAATTTTCATATAAAACCCATTAAATAATAATTTTTCAAAAGATTTATATGGATACTTTCTTGGGTATTATTATGGTATTTGAATACACCATGAGTTTATCTTCTTGTAGTATTATTATATTTTATTCTGAACTCATTCTTTGTTTTGAATATGTGGAAGTTTCACTTAACAAATGGTAAAGAAAAGCACTAAGTTGATCTTATTTAAAGTCAGCTTTGTTCCTTTGTTGTTCTTGAAGGTAAATAATTTTGTTACTACCCAGGGAAAACACTGATTAATAGATTATGTTGTGCAAAGTTGTCAACAGCAGTGTCCTTCAACGATTATTCAGGTGATATCTACAGGTTACAGCCTCACCTATGTTATAATTAGAATGACTAGTCACAGGGATAGCACATGTCACCATGGTAAACGAGAGGTTTCTTTCAAACTGAGGAAACATGGAGTTAGTGAGTGTGGAACGTTTTGGTAAGAAAAAATCAGTATAGTCTGAAAATTGGTCTTCATTTAAATAGCCTGATACAAGGTCTCATTGTAATAGTCTGATAAAAGAATCAGTGGGAGACAGTTCAATGTTTAGAACATCTAAGCAGATACACACATTGTATACGTGCTTCATCGCAAACTGTATATTTTGTGTTGCACTTTCTGTTCAGTCTTTTTATTTCATTTAAAACTGATTCATCAGTCAGAGTTTTAGTATTACTCCATAATCAATGTCTTGACCAAATCTCCAATTATCAAGTGGACATATTAGGTGTAGCTCTAGGGATTAATTTTAATTATTTTTACCTGGCTATTCTACAATTTACAAAAATATGAGGTTTTAATACTTGTTTATTAGAAATTGACTTTTTAAAAGTTTTGTTTTACTAGTTCATATGCAATTTTTTAATCTAACTTACCCAGTCACTATATTCCACAATCACGAGAAATGGTTCCACATCTCGACACAATCCTAGAAGTTTCACCACATTCTGGTGGTTCAATTTGTGAAAAATATCCATTTCTCTCTTGAATTCAAAGTGATCATTTTCATCTCGAGTGTGAAGTGCCTTCACCATTACCAGGGTTTCAACTTCATTTTCTTGTATTCCATGAGCCTTCGCAATAAACACATCTCCAAATTTTCCTTGCCCTTGAGAAAATAAGTATTATTTTAGAAGACACTAAGCATTTACTCATAATTATGATGGAAGACAAAAATATTTCAAAACTTTTAAAGCATCTTTGAATGTATAAGCTAATAATTTTTAAGAAGTACAGCAAAGTCACAGATCAAAGCAAGCTTAATGCCTCATCTCAATTTATTCAGTATTCACCCCATTAAAGTATTTTTTCTACAGCTTTCAGGATATTAAGAAATTATGAGGAAAGCAAATGAAAAAAAAAAACCGAATATCTTTGGAAGACAAACCTTCTTATTTTTAACTAATGGTTTTAATAGTTTCTGTACGAATCTGTATATAGTTGTCATATCTCATGTAGATAGTGATGTTCAGAAAACCTAGGTTAGTTTTTCAATGACCTTGTGTTAACACGTCACAAAAATATTATTATTTCTTTAAATAAGTAGTGCTATATACCTAAATGTACAGACTTACCTGAATCAGGCCCGGCATGGCCAGGTGGATAAGGCGCTTGACTCACAATCTGAGGGTCGCGGGT